TTTTTTTTTTTTTTTTTTTTGCGGTACGCGGGCCTCTCACTGCTGTGGCCTCTCCCGTTGCGGAGCACAGGCTCCGGACGCGCAGGCTCAGCAGCCATGGCTTACGGTCCCAGCCACTCCGCGGCATGTGGGATCTTCCTGGACCGGGACACGAACCCGCATCCCCTGCATCGGCAGGCAGACTCTCAACCACTGCGCCACCAGGGAAGCCCGGCAGGTGGATTCTTAACCCCTGCGCCACCAGGGAAGTCCTGTTGAGTGTCTTTTCATGTGCTTATTTGCCACTTGTATATCTTCTTTGGAGAAATGTTTATTCAGATCCTTTGTCCTTTTTTTTTTGCGGTACACGGGCCTCTCATTGTTGTGGCCTCTCCCGTTGCGGAGCACAGGCTCCGGATGCGCAGGCTCACCGGCCATGGCTCATGGGCCCAGCCGCTCCGCAGCATGTGGGATCTTCCCGGACCGGGGCACGAACCCGCGTCCCCTGCATCGACAGGCGGACTCCCAACCACTGCGCCACCAGGGAAGCCCCTTTGTCCATTTTTAAATTGAGTTCCTAGGTAAACTTTAAAAAAAAAAGTAAAATTAAAAGCATTGAAATTTTTTTTAATAGTTTGAGGGTTTTTAAAAAATTTTTATTTATTTTATTTATTTATTTTTGGCTGTGTTGGGTCTTCCTTGCTGTGTGCGGGTTTTCTCTAGTTGGGGCGAGTGAGGGCTACTCTTCGTTGCGGTGCACGGGCTTCTCATCGTGGTGCCTTTTCTTGTTGTGGAGCAAGGGCTCTAGGCACATGGGCTTCAGTTGTGGCACATGAGCTCAGTAGTTGTGGTTCACTGGCTCTAGAGCAAAGGCTCAGTAGTTGTGGTGCAAGGGCTTAGTTGCTCAACGGCATGTGGGATCTTCCTGGACCAGGGATCAAACTCGTATCCCCTGCATTGGCAGGCGGATTCTCAACCACTGTGCCACCAGGGAAGCCCAAAGGATTGGAATATTCCTCAAAAAGTTAACTATAGAATTTTTATATGATCCAGCAATTCCATACCTAGGTATATCCCACTAAAATTGAAAACGGACACTCAAACAGATACTGGTATGCCAGTGTTCATTGTAGCATTACTCCCAGTAGACAAAAGGTGGAAACAGTCCAAATGGCCATGAACAGATGGATAAACAAAATGTGCTTTAGGCACAGTGGAATATTATTCAGCCATAAAAGATGAAATTTTGTTAGCTGCTACAACATGGATGAGCCATAGAAACAACTTGCTAAGTGAGATAAGCCAGGTACAAAGGACAAATATTGAATAATTCCACTTAAATGAAATATCTTTAATAGGCATATTGAGAGAGACAGAAAGTAGATTAGAGAGTTACTGCTTAATGAGTATAGAATTTCTCTTTGGAGTGATGAAAAAGTTTTGGGGATACATAGTCGTGATAGTTTAACAACACTGTAAATGTAACTAATGCTGCTGAACTGTACACTTAAAATTGCAACATTATGTTATATATATGTTACCACAATAAAAAATTTGTTTTTAATTTTTAAAAAAGCATTTAACAACCTGTAAAGAAATATTTGTAAGAAATATCTTATAAAGCACAAAATGTAATAGCTTTTCATCAGAAGAAATTTTAATGGTACAGTCATAAGAAAATAAAATTAGCCTTTCCTAGTATTCAAATAAATTCAAACTAGAACAATAACATGGCATTTTTCAGTTGTTAAATTGTTTCACATATAGGCTCTTTTATCCTCTGCTAGTTGCATTTTAAATTTGTAATGAACTTTCTGCAGGGCAGTTTGACAGTATATACCAAGGACCTTTAAACATGTAATGTACTTTTAGAAATCTGTCCTGGGGACTTCCCTGGTGGCGCAGTGGATAAGAATCCACCCGCCAGGGCTTCCCTGGTGGCGCAGGGGTTGAGAGTCCGCCTGCCGATGCAGGGGACACGGGTTCGTGCCCCGGTCCGGGAAGATCCCACATGCCGTGGAGCGGCTGCGCCTGTGAGCCATAGCCACTGAGCCTGTGCTCCGCAACGGGAGAGGCCACAACAGTGAGAGGCCCGCGTACCGCAAAAAAAAAAAAAAAAAAAAAAAGAATCCACCTGCCAATGCAGGGAACATGGGTTTGATCCCTGGTCTGGGAAGATCCCACATGCCGCAGAGCACCTAAGC